AAAAAAAAAAAAAAAGACTCAAGTTGCATTTTTATACAATAATAAACTATCTGGGAATAAAAGTTAAGCAAACAATCCCATTTACAATGGAATTAAATACTGCAAGACACTGAAGACTCAATTTAACAAAGGATGTGAAAGGTCCATACTATACAAAGTAACCTATTATCCCTATTAAGATTCCAAAGACACTTTTTGTAAAAATAGTAAAATACTCAACAATTTCTATGAAACCACAAATGACCCAAGTAACCAACACAATCTGGACAGAGAACAAAGCTGAGATCTTCACACTTCTTGATTTCAAACAATTACAAAACCATACCAACTAAGAGTATACAAACATAAAAAGACACATAGATCAATGGAAACCAATTAGAAAGCAGAAATAAACCTGAATATAGAGTCAGATAGGTTTTGACAAGGCACCAAAATATACAAAGGAGAAAGCACAGTCTCTTTTATATATGAAGATATAAACTGGCTATCCCTATGCATGAGAATGAAACTAGACATTTATACCACATACAAAAATCACCTGAAAGTAGATTAACACTAACTGTAATACCAGAAACTATATAACTTCTTGAATAAAACGTACGGGACATGGCTCGGCACCTGTGGCTCAGGCGGCTGAGGCAATAGCCACATACACCTGAGCTGGCGGGTTCGAACCCAGACTGGGCCCCCGAAGCAACAATGACAGCTGCAACCAAAAAAAAAAAGAAGACAGCTGGGCGTTGTGGCGGGTAGGCACCTGTGGTCCCAGCAGCTGGGGAGGCAGAAGCAGGAGAATCGCTTGAGCTCAGGAGTTGGAGGTTGCTGTGAGCTGTGATGCCACCTCACTCTACCAGAGCTTGAGGCACTGTCTCAAAAAACAAAAAAACATAGGGGACAATCTCTTGGACATTAGTTTTGACAATCACTTTTTATATTACACCAAAAATGCAAAAGCAATAAAAGCAAAAAACAGAAACAAGTGAGGCTGTATCAAATCTGCATAGCAAAAGCAAACCAAAAATAACATAAAAGCAAGCCAAGGAAGAAAATACATATGATGAATGTAATATTTAAAATATATAAAGATCGGCTCGGCGCCTGTGGCTCAACCGGCTAAGGCGCCAGCCACGTACACCTAAGGTGGCGGGTTCGAATCCCCAGCCCGGACCCGCCAAACAACAATGACGGCTGCAAC